CACTATCCAATAAAAGAAAATTATTGAGTTGGATATCTAAAGTTACTACCCAGAGGCTACTCTGGTACAGTATTTATAAATCTCTAAACAGTTAGGTATAATTGTCTTTCTGGGTTTTGGGAAGAAAGCCAAATAGCAGCTTTAGTTACAACTGAAGATAAATATTTTGTGTCGGGCCACATTCATCTGGTGGATAAAATAACAAGTAAAATCCCCACAAAGTAGGACTCTAAGGAAAAAAAAAAAGAAATGTGAAAAACTAAATGGTAATAGTCAATAGATGATACTTGAAGAAGAAAGGATGGAAATGTCAAGAAAATAATGGAAAGGAAAATTACTGGAGGTCTCCCAACTTAACAGCCAAGGCAGAACCCACCACATATTCAGTCCTCCTGGGTGCTTTGGAAAAATGTTATGACTGAGGAGCACCTACTATGACTATGGATATAATATTCTCTGGTCTGCTCTCTAAAATACTTCTTGATAAAATAATCTTAATTTCTGTTTGAGAGAACAGAATGAGAAACAGAAAGGACAATAAAAACCTGGGGGTGACTTTTTTCTCCAACACCAGCACACCTCTTTACAGATCTTTCTAGGAAGACAATCAGTCAAGATCTTTAAGAAGTAATCAAGACAAACACAGGGCTTCCTTGTCAAAAATAAGGTTGAGTTTATAAAAAATTTTGTGAAGAGGTGGGCCAAGTTCCCACTTTACAGCATTTTGTACTTCAAAATTTGAGATATCTTAATGAAACAATAGTTTGCTGCAGCTTCAGTGGGATACACTTTGGCCTTTCTGTCCTTGGAATCTAGGTTCTAGGTCTCCCAAAGGCAATGAACTGCCCAGATGATTTCCAAAAGCTCATTTTCAGGACATTAGAGTCTGCAGCCCTAACCTCTAGCAAGCCTAAAGAGCTGCCCAGTCAGCTTTGAAACGATCAGTGCAGACAGTCCTGAGAACACTTTCAATGTGAGAACTTCTAACAGCACAGGCTTAATTTGAAAGAACTTGTTCTTTTTGAGTAGAAGTACACATTTTATGTAAAGGAGACCAGAAAATCCTTTCAGAACTGTTAGAAAGCTTTTCTTCCTAAGGAAAACAGGTTGTTTGCACACACAGTTCTGTGTAGCCATGCATTTGGTCGTATGTTGCCAGACAGCTGATGATGAACATAGATTTGACAACTTAGATAGTTTACTGCCATCCCCTCTGGACATGCTAGGTCATTTGTAGCTCTGGTCCAGATTATTATTTTTTTCCAATGTCTTGGAACTCTGAGTTGGATTTTTCTTCTGTGGAAGGTCGAGGCAGAGCACTGTGCTTGGATGAGATGCAGTTCTGGCAGGATCAGTTATGACCCAAGAGAGGCAAGCCAGAGTACAAAAATGTTGCTGCACTGCTTATAGAAGGTCCAGATAATTACTGTCAATCAGCTCAAAAACCTGGGGATATTATAACACCATAAGGAAGTACTATCAAGTCTTTGTTTCTGTATGAGAATGGTTGTGTGTGTTTTAAGTTCATCTTACACTCTAGTAATGAGAAAATCCTTTGTTGATGCAAACCAGATTAATTCAGAGCTGTTTTTTTCAGCAGTTAACTTAATCCACTGGGAATTGCTAGCCCTATTATTGCAGAAATTTCCCTTTCATGAAAGTATGCTGTCATGTGTCCACCCACCTGCTCCTTCTACAAGATCCTTCCTCCTGGCTTGCTCCTGGGTTCCAGTTCAAAGCTACATCCCTGGCTGGAAAGGGCATGTTTGGATGGATACAGAGATACATTTTTATATGCCTAGAACTGAGAGCGACTTTGGTGTTAAAGCAGGTGATGAGGATGAAACTCTCAGAAAAAGGGAATGAAACACCAAAATGTGTGGATTCTCCTCCTGCTACCAACTTAAAGCAAAGGAGTTATAGGTATAGCCCTGTACTTCAACACTTGCCAACGATGGTGGCTTATCTGATGGTTAGATAAATTTGCATCCTGGTTTTATGGCAACCTTATTGTACTGGTGTCATCTTTTGCCTAAAACGGAAATGTAACAATCACAAATACAAACTAGAAAGTTCCTTGTATATTCAATAACTTATCAATTAAAGGACTGTATTTTTTTTTCAGAAATGTAAACATGAATTATATATCTTGTTTTTATATGAGATTGCACCACTTAGTAACTACATAACTATACATATATAATACTATTTATTTCCTGAGAATAGCAAGGGTAAGGTCATACTGCTAAATCCCTTACCAAAAATCTTGCAGTTCACCCTGTGCATTTCCTAGACTGCTCACATATTTTGTTTTATTTCTTCTCTTTTCAACACCCTGTCACAGGTCAACTGACCTTCTGCCACACCTCCATATTTTGTAGTGTCAGTGTTTCTGATGACCAATAACAGAAGTAACATAAAAGAATAACACAGAAGATCCACGTCTGATGTTGATGAGGATGTCTTAATTCAAAATCAGCATTAAGATCTAGAAAAACTCAGACTGGCAATACTGCAAGTTTGTACCAGCCAATGTGTTAAGTATGTCAAGCAATACACAAATGTAAAATGACATCTTGCTCTATAAATAAAGGTACTTAATTGTCAGTAAGAATCTGTGAGTTTGTTCTAATATGCTGCTTGTTGACCAGCAAAAGTTGAATCATCTACTTTATGAAATTGTCATGATAGTTGTGTCCACCGTATGTTAAAGCTGCATTTCACAGACAAAAATGTCACATTGCATATATTTTCCAGTAAAGTTTGTGCTTTCTACTGTTCTAACTGCTTCTGACAGTCTAAACGTTTTATTCAAGGTCTTTCATGAAAATTTATGGTATTGAAAGGAACAGAATCAATTCAGGAGTTCTGCATTTCATCAACAGAGAATTTACTGTGAAGATAATAGTTTTCTGAAGCAAAGAACCTCTCCTTGTTGAAGTGCTCCCAATTAAAATAGACTGCCGGTTACCTGCCTTATGCTGTGTCCTGTTTCCCCAGAACAGCTATGGGAAAGAGTCACCTTTTAATTTTTAACATGCAGTCTGGTATTTACCTGAAGAACTGTCAAAAATTTCTAAGAATGTGCTCACCTATTGTTCGTCTGCTTCTCTGCATCAGCAACATTTAAAAGGGCTAAAGGGATTTGGACTATGGCCAGTGTACACTTCCTGACCTACAGGGGCTATTGCTGTAGCAGCAACCTGGGTATTAGAGAGTCACAGGACAATTCAGTCTGGAAAGGACATTGGAGGGTGTCTGGTCTTATTTCCTGCTTTAAGCAGGGTCAACTATGAGGTCAGGTCAGCTTTGAGCTTTATGCAGTCAGGTCTTGAATACCTCCAAGGATGGAGAGTAAAAAATGACAGGTGTTCATGTGGTGCACAAGAGTGGATATTGACAGGTTTCTCTATCCTCACTGAGGGATGGCGTGACCCTGTGTACTCCCAGAGGTAAAATACAACAGCCAAGTGCTGAAAATGTCTCTAACTTCTGAGCAAAGATAGAAAATTCTCTCAGACTGTTTGTGCTCAAGAAGAGATTCTTAATTATTTTAATTATGTGTGTAGTACAAGACTGAGAGAGATTCATCAAAGAATAGCCATTTGCCTGGTAGTGGAAGTACAGATTTAGTTTTGAGATACAGAATTTCTGATCCCAGGGCTAAACCAGCAAAGCAAGGAACCTCTATGCCTGTCTTTCACTTCTGCAATGAGTTTCCTAATCATGACTACAAGCTATTAGAGTGTGAGGAAAGAACTCTAAAATATTTGGCGTTGTGTTATTTCCAGACCACAGATTTGAAACTTTCAACACTCATGGGATTGAAAACAATCAGTTTCTTCCTTTTCTTCCCTAAATCTACTTCTTATCCAGAAAACTGTCCAATTTGACTTTGAAAAGTTCAAACTTTTAGCTTCCTGGTACAATTTAATTCCAGTGTTAAATTCCACTATTTTATTGCTGATTTTAGAAAGAATTTTCTATGTTCAAATTTCTATATTCAAGAAGTTACACTGCAACCTCTGATTTTTGGCATATAATTCCTACTTCCTGATTAGAGTGTAAAGAGGAAAATCTAAACTTCATCTTAGTTCTCACAGTCCTTGAGGGAATACTATCTCTAGATCAGGCTCACAGGGAAACTGCAGACCAAAGCACAATCCTTTCCACCTACATTTACAGCAGAACTAGATCCAGAGGGAATATTTACTGCTGCAGTTAATAGGTTTATCAAAGGTAGGACTTCAGCTGCATAAGCTGCAAGACCCTTCAGGGATGGGAAGATGATTGTTTTTACACTGATGGTCTTTGCCAGGGTGCTTATGACTGCTTTGCAGCTGCTTTGCACAGGCACAGATGGTGTAAAATAGCCTTTGGCAACCTATGAATCAGTCCCCTACTCTCAGGAAAGATTGAAAGATTTTGTTCAGCGTTCTTAAATGGGATGAGTATATGTCAAATCATGGGAAGAAATCAGTTTTGAGTTAATTCTCCGTGGCTTCTTGAGCAAGAAGGCACCAAAGCTGTAAAGAAAATTAGAAGTTCTTGTTCTTTTTATTTTACTTTTTGGCTTGTGTTATTAAAACTTGTATTTTCTCTGAAGTTTCAATGTGTTTTACATAAGAAGAAATTTTGTTAGACAGAATTTAGGTATTCCAAAGAATAACTGCAAGTTATCACTGGTTATATAACAGCAACTCACCCTGAAAAGGAAGCCACAGTGAGAGAACGACGTTTTTATACATTATCTAGGAAAATTTTAAAATGAGAAAAAATGCCAGTTTCATGTTCATTCATTTTTCCTCTGAAAGATGTGCTCTGTGATGTAGCAGAGAAACTACGTGACTGTCCCTTTAAAAGCCATCATACCAATCAGCAGGTTTAACTGTCAAGCAAGCTGATGTAGGGCTCTTTGAATTACTGAGTGAGGGATATTCTTCCTGCCAGGTCCTGTCCCCTGTAGGCACTGCAGAGAAGTATTATAGGGCAGTCCTTACCTTGGGAATTAGCCTGCAAGACCCCAATGCTGTCATCAAACTGCATAGATTTGATGTTGAGTGACGCCAAGATGCATTCCTTGTCCTGCAGCGAAGCATCATCAATATTATTCTGATTGGCTGACAGGATAACGCACATGTCGCAGAGGTTGATGTTGACAGCCCTTAAATCAGCCCGACTTAATGGCGTACCCTTCGGCACAGGGAGAAAGAAAGGGGGGTGCAGAAGAGGGCAAAAAAGAAAAACAAATTAAAGATTGAGAAGGAGCTTTGGGAAATTATTTAACAAGTATCTTTTTTATGCTCTGACATTAAGCTGGTCTAACTATGTGCCAGGGAATAGGAGATGTGTGCTAATCTAAAGGGTAGTTGGTGCTGATGGCAGCATTTTAGGTTCAGTCTCAATACTCAGTCAAGCTATTACTAACAAACAAGAAACAGGAATAATGCCAGCATTCTACATCTCATCGGTGACTTGAAATTGTCTTGATTTAAGCTGCTATCATGTGGCAACCTCTGGCTCTCTGAATATAACGAGGGGGGGTGTTTTAAATGTCTATTTATCTACTACCAAATCACAATGGTCTTGGGCAAAAGAACAGCAATTTAAACAGGAAAGCATTACGTGTCCTGCACATTTGAAATGCAATCAGGACAAAGCTATTTTTTTCTACCTAAAGCAATACACAGAAAAGGTTAATCCTTTTCAAAGCACGCTTTTGTTGCTTCTAGAAGGAAAACACACTGAGCTTCAAAGCTGTGTGATTAAGCCCTTTGAAACAGACACAGGACTTTATCCTAATGGGCACAGCTTGTGCAACGTTCCCTGTTCCACAATCCTCAATCAGAGAATGGAATCATTAAAATGAAATGTTGTGGTAGCCTGTGGATTATTTTCATAGCTAACAAAGCTGAAATATGACACTTAACATGATATTTTTTGTTTAAAATTACACTTGCCTTTCACATTCAACAGCCCACAATTGTAGTTACAGAATATTAGGTTGACGTCACAGGGGCTGCGAGGTCCAGGAAATACACACCATTTTTTAAATGGAAACTAGATTGTACTCTGCTGCCTCACATGGCTGGCTACCCAAGGACCCTGATGATGAGGAGACATAACTGTCCCAGTGTCATGCAGTGACTTTCATAAAATCAAGTCAAGACCCTAGTCTTCCATCTCCTGATCATTCATGGCAAATATCTCCTGAACTCCACTGAGAGTACTCAATGCAAAAGTGAATTTAAAATGCACACAGTGAAGGAAGAGCTCAATTATTATTCAGTGTTTTCCAGCTTAATTATTCCATGTAATTTTCAATAATTTGAGGCATGAAACCTTGTGAAAAACAGTATGTATCAAACAGATATGATTTCATTATAAACTGCTCCAAAGTTAGAATATGATTATTCCAGCCACCCTAATCCTGCCCTTTGTGCCTGTACTGTGCACCAAGTGAAGCAGGGTTCCTGTGGGGAAAAATAATATGCAATCATGTAATTAATTAAAGGCTCACTCCTAATGATTTTATGCAAAGGGACAGAATTAATGCTGCCTGAGGATATTTAAAATTGGCATTTGCCTACTTTTTAAGAGTTTACTCAGCAGCTTAAAGGCATCATTTAATACAGACCTTAAACTCCACTTTTTTTTTTTTAACAGAACAAATGTTTTCATATTCAGCTGTAACCACATCTACATCAGATATCAGCAGCAAGTTTTACCTCGTGAACCAAAGCACAGAGAATTATGAAAGTGGCCTCCCTACAACAGGTTCCTACAAGTATAATCTCAGACACTTAAGCACATTTTAAAATTAGTATAATTAGATCAGAAAATTGCTGCTATTTTAACTTTATATCACCATTTTGAACCAGATAGGCTGGAAAAATAATGGAAGCAACAGGAATGAAGTCTGTGTGGTCTTCAGTACCCTTGATTACTACATCAGATACAATTCCTTTATAAAATTCTGTATTTTTAAAGCTACATCAACTAACTATTTAAGCTGTTCAAATCAAAATTAATCTAAAGCTATTCTGCATTTTGGCATAAACTGGGGAAAGTAAAGATCATGTTCATTTCCTTTATGCCTCTTCAGAATTCAGAATCAAAACTTTGCAAAACCACATTATAATAATGGATAAACATTATATACTGGAAACAGTGGCAGGATTCTATTCTGCTTGATAGTTCAACAGTATTATCAATTTAATTCTGATTCTCTAGTCTTTAGCCTTCACAGTGACTGGAATTAAAAGAAATTGGCAGAAAGAGGAGGATATTAACTGACCAAATCTGATATTGACACCATTTTTGTGACAGCAGAGAATCTTGTGACACCATCTGTTGGATCAGGTTACAGAAAAATGCCAAGGGCTAACACTAAAACTGCATTTACAGTAACAAAGACCTACAGTCTGAATTAATCAAAAAGCAAAGACAGTCCTTTCCTTCTATAGCTATTTTCCCAATTATTCACTTAAGGTTACATTAATCATTTATTTATTTTTAACTGCTGAAATGAAATTACTAAATACTAGTAAACTTATAATTTTTGATTCTCTTCTAAACTAACTTTGCTATATAACATGCTGAGCATTTTCTTTCACTTATACCATGGGCTCCCATGTGTCATTTATAGCTATGGTCACCTAAGATCACCAGCTTGGAGGGCTTAATTTGTTAGTCCTACAGCTCTGGATAATACATTTTGGTCATATAAGTAAATCATAATGATCTATAGGAGAAAAAGGACCTTTGCAGTTTTAGTGGCTGTGCCTACTAAGATCAATAGGATCTTTTTATTGATTTTAAAAGGGTCAGGGTTTTGCTGTACTTTCATACAGGACTCTGAACTGAAATGCCAGGGCATTCATGTTCCTTATAAAGCAGGCCAGTCCAAGGGAAGTCTTTATGAATACATATAAATATTACGTAGACAGAGTAACAATATTTTTTTCAAAGGTTTTGTGGGTATAAAACCATAAATAATATCATAAATAACTACTGTCATTCTGTCAGGGAAATCACAACATCAGAACCAGCTCCATGCAGGGCACTACAGTGAATGTTCAATACATAGCACAGCTGATACATCTGATAGCAGCTGAAATTCAGCCGATGAGGATGATGAGGAACCAAACACTGCAGCAAATATCTTCTAATAAGGTCTCACAGGGCTCTGTTTTCATAGACACAGTAAAGGGAAAATCTAAGTCCTCAGGCCTATAAGTAGACAAAAGTAAAAAAGCCTAAGATCAAAGTCAATACGAATCTGTCCAGCTGGTGTCCTAAATAACAAAGTATCAATAATATGGCTTTTGAACTTACAGGCAAGATTGAAACCTTGGGGAAGTTATGCAGTGTCTCCCATTCCCTTCTCAGGTATTCAAGTGAACCCACAAACACAATGTGCTTGAGTTCATGGTAGTGAAAGTTGCTGGCTCGTAATGGCATCACTAAATTTCTTAATCCAATCAAAGCAGATTTAACATCCCCAAATATGCAAACGACTACATGCCCACTTAAAACTGTCATCGCTGCTTCACTTCGAGTCTAAAAAAAAAAACAAACAAAACAAAACAAAAAGACAAGGGAAAAATGAAACAAAGGGAATCTCAAATCATATATCGAGTTTAAAACCAGGAAAAATACAACTGTCAATATTGTTCATGCACAAAGAAGCAGTTTGATAACAGCTATTCATTTCACCCCTATTTATATTTCATTAAATGTGCTCAGTAGAAAAAAAGAAGTTCTAGTTTGCAAATCCTTCAGCATTTGGGAAAACATTGTATTGGACCAAATTCTGGTCCTGTGCAAGTTTCTATACATGTGGATTGTGATCTGGTTACAAAGTACTGTGGGTTAAGCTAAGGATTACAGAAAAAAGATGCAAAATCACACCCTAGTTGACAAATTACTAGATAGGTTTTTTTCAACACCAACTTGAAAAGGAAGATGTTGAGTGTCCAGTGTTCCTAGTAAGGCTTTGTGATATTACTCAGATCTTGTGACTTGAGGACCATAATCTCTTGGAGTCAAAGTTCTTATTTAAGGACAAGCTGCTGTTTCCCTGAGAAGCAATCCATGAGTGCCCTACACTGCTCTGCTTTACAGCAGACAATCACTATATGCCACAGAGCTTCTTTCAGTAACAAAATAAAAGCGCAAGTTTGTGACTAATACTGAATTTTCAGGCCAATTTGACTTACTGAGGAAAAGGTCTCATGGAGAATATTTAAAGTGTCCAGAATTATCTTCTTGTCTCAGTGAGAGAATAAATTTTTGCACTAATTTCAGCATTGTTTAGTTCAGTTGAGCAGGCAACTCAAACACCAAGACGATTAAATAAAGCCACATGGAAAAAATTACCTTCATTTCTGGAGCCAGTCTTGGCATTGTAGTGCTCTGTCAAGTAGCTGGAGAACCACTGATACCATATCGCCAAGAAATTGTACACTCTCTACCATTACACAGAAGTTTTGCCAATGAACAAAACTAAACCAGTGCTGATCTGCAAAATTTTCCTCTCACTTATCCACAGAATATGTAATTTTTCTAAATTACAGAAGCATGGTGGTGTGCAATTAAGATTGGAATATGCAGCAGATATGCATGCTCATTACGTCAGAAGAACGGGAACTCTGATTACAAGTTTTCTCATCAGTTAAAAAATGCATGGGCTTTCAATTTCTGCAGAGCAATTACACTGATTTTCGTACAGCCTGGCCAAGAGAGTTGTCTTGGCCCTTCAAACAGCAGAAGACAGGAGTGAATCCTCAAGTGAAGCATCCAAGTTGTCCCATGCCTGTGCCTATGAATCTGGAATACTTGGACTATACAAGACAGAGACCAAGTCTTGAAAGCAGGTATGTAAAAAATGTCACTCCATAAATCTCTATGTAGCCACCTATGGCAAAAATCCCTTCTTACTACCTGATACTTCTGGAACGTCATGCAGTCAAAACAGACCTTGGGCACAAAAATTAATTCTTTTCTGATGGGAACATCATCAAGTATCAATTAGAAGACAACCTGGGAAATCTCATCATCTTCAAATTATGCACTAGTTTGTACTTGTGTGGTCTCTAAGGACAGCATTAAATTTGCATAGATATGAATGTAGACATAAATTGTGGACTGTGAGTTTGAAAAGGTGTAGGGAAGCATTTTGCTGGCAGTGTCTTTATTTGTGATGATGCATGAAGCAGAAAGAACCGGGGCAGACTTGCAGATTCACAGACTGGTAGTGGAAAAAACTAACATGGCATAACCTGGAGATGAGGATTGAGTCACTCCCCAGCACCATTTGTGGGGGAACACTTTTCAAAGCAGGGCAACATTTAGTTTGTCAGTTAAAATGTGTTTGTTCCACAAAGGAGGACTTTTATCTCTATTACGAAGTGTTGTACAGCAGAGCTACCCCTTCTTGCTTGCTGATTACAAATAAATGATACTATTTACAGCTGTTCAGGCAAACTCCATCTCAAAGCTCCATCTCCAAAATTTGGAATTTACTTGCTTGACTATTTAAACACTGATATTGTAATTCCAGGCAATGTCAGAGTTATTACAGAAACCCCTGAGGAGAACTGGAGACAAGCTTTTAACCCCTGATTGCTAGAATAACTGGGGCTGTCACCATCATTGGCTACAGGATGCCACAGTGCAGGAAAATCTAAGAGAGCAGGCTTGGGGAAAGCTTTATGAAGTGCGACAAAGTGAAGATCCACCAGGGAGTTCATTTCAAATATAATCAGTTTTGCGTGTGAGATCTGGGGTTAGTTACTTGCTACTCTTAGGTATAAGTACATGAACACAAGTGGCATAAACTTTCAAAATAGACTGTGATAGGTCTCCTAATTATTTTTAATGACTTGAGTCAGTTTGATGGTTTTCCCAGTTAAAGGAATGAAACAAACATAGACAGGGCTCACTGCAACATGCTACAATCAGAGTAGGAACATTACTTGCTGTGGCCTATTTGGGCATCTTGAAATATTGGTAATTGAGAGAGAAGTTCTAAGAGAGCAAAATAAATAAAAAATCAATTAACGATAATTAACAAAACATCAATAAAAAAGAGGTAAGTCAAAACAACACTTGCCTGTGTTAGAATCATTACTGCCTTGTGTAAAGAGAAAATGTGGTATGTAAACATTCAAGTATTTCTAATCTTAATTCTCTGTAAGGATTTAAACCAAATATGTAAAATTCAGTTTATGAAAAAGAAATTCCCTATAATGGATGATTTTTTATTGTTGCACTGGGCATAAAGATTTATGTAATCAAAATTCTTTAACCAAAATCCTAGCTTAGATTTCATCACTCATGCTCGTGATTTCAACACAATGGATTTTGTGACAGTAGATACTAACTTATTTATCTGTTAGACATCACTTCTATGGTTTAAATAACCTCTTTTCAAACACAACTTTTCATCAATACCTACCAAAATGACCTTTTCAATGTCTTTGGCTGGACACCAATGAAACATCCCTGTAGAGTCGTATTTTTTCACGTTGGCATCCATATTGTCAATCTGCTCGTTGCCAGGAATTAACAAGGGGTCATGCCTGGGGAAAAACAAGTTGAGGACAGCATAAATGGAAAATACTATGAATTATGGATGGAAAGATATCCCAAGAGCAGTGTACAAAGAGAGAGAAAAGTAAAAAAATAAAATTTATTTACACTTTAACATGCTTTCTATAAGGACATTTTTAAACAAAAGTGGCATACCAAAAAAAAAAAAAAATTAAATTTTAAATGTTGGGTGCGGTTTCAATGACTTTCTATCCTCTTCTATGCCAATAAGCATTTAATTTTAAATAGGGTTTTCTGACACCATCACATCCGTCCAAGTTTTTTTCTTTCCAGTCCCACCCCTCTGAAATAAATATCAAAGTTCCTATAGGCATCTGCAATGAAGTAGAAGGGATAGGAACAGAGCCCCATGCTGACTGACTGGCATAAGTATGGAAAGCCAATTACTTGCTTTTACCACATACAACTTCTGACGTGATGCTCTTCACAGTAAAAGCTTTAACAGGCTGCACTTTAAATATTTTAGCAATTTGCCCAATCATATTTTGCTTTCCCAAACTGAAGCCCTTTAAAGATTCAACAGTATGTCATTTTAGAGCAGACTGACTAACAAATGCCCACATCTGGAATACATGATTTTAATACCAAACAACAATGTCCATTTTCTCTGACAACTCTACCTGTGATAACCTTCTAAGTGTTTCTGCTGCAAGATTTTAAAGCACAAGGTTTCTCAAAGGAGAAGCAAATAGAAGATATTTTTATGAACTTGCTCTCCAGCTATATAGCTACATCTAAGCACAGACACAGAGTTCTTTAATTTATATGCTAAAACCAAGCATCAAACTAAGTACTAAGTGACTCCAACACTCTCAAATGCTGGTGAAGACCCCTAAGTGACTGCATTATGCAATAGCATTAGCAGAATTGTATTCACAAGGTACAGGGTAAACTGACCCCAAAATCTTATATTTAGCATGATTTAATAGTGCTTTGTCTGAAAAGCTACAGTCTTTACCTCAGGTTTTCATCATGAATGCTTGAAATATCTTGATATAGAACTGTAACATTTCAAAGAAGAAAATATTTGCAATGTAAGAATATGCTAAGTGCTCTGAGACAGGTATCCAAATTTTAAAGCAGTTTGCCCTTTGAAGCCTGTTAAAGAAATGCCTATATTGTCTGAGCTCTTAAAAGAGGAAAGTTTCCTGCTTTTAAAGCATTTGAATGAGCAGGCTGTGGTGAGATCTTCTCTTCTGCATGGACTGCTAAAGAAGACTGTGAACATAGTGTGTGATATAGGTTAATTTATACTGAACATGGTATGCTAAGTTACCATGCAACCAACAGTTGCATTCCTATGAAAAGTATAATCTCAAATTCAGCCAGGGTGATCAATTAGTGTGATTTCATAGCCACTGATTGCAGATTCATTGAAATGAGTGGAAAATTCTCATGCATTGACAAAGTCAACTCCAAAGAAAGTGTCTCAAAAAAAGTTGAGAAATTATTAATACAATGTTCCATTTAAACGAGAATCTTCTGATGCTTTAAGACAATCAATGCCCTACATGGCAAGGACAAGACTCATCTGGAAAAAAGAAACACTATGTTTTCAAAGTTTTTTAACTCTCTCAGTAGAGATACAGTTCAGTGATTTCACTGTAACCCACTGGCACCAGGCAGGCCTTCAGGACTACCTGGAGTCTCTTATCCTACTCCAAGCTGAATAACAACAGGCCTTGCCTAAGTTCCCTCTTTCACAGGAAGCAGAGATGAAAAATCTGTATCAAAGGGGTTTGTTGTAGGGGCTTGGTCATTGTTTTGTTGGCTTTTTTTAAAATTTCTAGGAAAATATAGAGACTCTGCATTCTCTTCCATCCATCAGCAAGATGCAGACATGGTAGTTTTGTCTGAAAGCTGCGATGCCACTCACTGGGCATTCCCCATCTGCTCAGAGTTGCAGGTGGTACAGCAAGATCTGCAGCCATGAACACATTTCAGTTTGAAGGTTGTACTAATGCTCAGACTACATTTGGTGCTGCTCTGTCCCAGCTATTTTTCTAATGGAATGTGTTAGCTATAAGTTTCAAATTAAGAAAGTTTCCCAAAAGGTTAAGAATCTTCAGGAATTTCCACTGAGAAATGTTTTTCTTTCTATTGTTTCAGGGTTAGGTTTTTTTCCCCCAATACTTCAACAGAACATTTCTTTAAGAGGTTTTTTTAGAGGAGCAATGAAAGATTCACTTTTCAAAAGCAAAATTCACCATTGAAATCACCTTCTTTTCCTTTCAGAAATCAAGCACATATAAGAAGGAATTTTCTTTTCCCCCTATCCTTCATCAGATGAACTGTAATAAATCAGTTTTTAAACAATGCCATATTTTTGTTGTGTAATCAATGTTTCCTTTCTGCTTTGAGATTTAAAATTAAATAGATGATCTGAAGCTTTATCACAAATGACTATTTAGCAATACTCCAATCCCAGACACAAAAATGATTCACAGAAAATATACAAATTGAAAGGAATGTTAACAAAGCAGGTGGTATCAGATATCTGACATCCCATTATGGTCAACTGCCTTGAGGTTTGAGGCAGCTTTTAGCGTGTGAGTGCTTAAAGCCCAGCATAGTTCTTTTGGGCTTTGCATCCTAACAGGGAGCATTCAAAGTAGCTTCTTCCAAAGGTTTATTAGAATATTTTAGGCTTAAACATAAGTTGGCTTCGGGGAAGAAGAAAGCATGTGAATAATCAGATATAACCCCCTGCTGAAGTTTTAGGCAACAAATTGTGGTTTTTTTTCCTTTTTAAAGCCCTTCGATTTTTGGTTTGCCTTTTTTTTTTTTTATCGATGCATGTGTTTATTTGCAGTATCATAAACTGTTTAGACTCTTGCTTGGAGTACAGCAAGTGGGAACCTTAAAGGAGGCAAAAAAGGATGAGGCACATAACATGAAAGCATGCTAAGAGATATTATTTTATTATTTTTACTCCAGGATAATGGATTATTGCCTGAGAAGGACTCTGTGATATGACCAGCCACATTCTATTTCACAATATGTGGGGTTATCCATGTAAGTGTGTTTATTAAAATTAAATCTCCTGGGGTAAGATATTATTTTAATTTCTCTTTAATCAATCTTCTTTTATTCTCAGTAAAGTGATCCCTGAAGCTGTCTCTGGACCTTAGAAACTCGTTGCTACTTAGGTCCACCTTTATCCTCAGATTTTACTGAGCGTATCAGAAGATACACTGACTTACATATTTAAAAACTGAATTGATCAGAAGAGTTATAAAACAGTATTACTACTTTGGACATATACACCCTCGTTGATCTGATGATCCAAACCTGTTTTGCAAATACTAAAAATTAATTAAGATAGACGCACAAAGAGGTCAAAGCTGTCGAATCTGACTAAGGCATTTGGACACCCTCTTCCCATTAAAATTTGTATTACACAAAGCATTACAGTTGTTGCCAAATCAGGGACTGAATGTTTCTAGAGCCTCTCTTTGCCTCCTCATCCTTGAAGATGGCCTTGTCAAGCTGTGCTCGAGTCACATTGGCAGGTTACTGCAGAATGCTTATATTCACACTGCAGTCATTATGTTCTCCAGGCTTCAAAGTCCTCTGATTCAAGAATTCAAATCATAGGAAGAAAAGCACTTTCTGTCAATTAAACCCCTAGTACTTGTTTTAATTGAGATGTTGGTTTTTATGGCTTGCAATGACCAAAGCAATTGGCCCTTCTGGCTAGGAAAAGACATGTATAGCCTGTATGGAAGGAAAGGAACAGAAGTTAAATCTCCTCATCCATAACCCCAGTTTAAAAATAGCATCTCTGATTCTTATGGCAGATATTACATACGCATGACTTAAAATGAAGAGCAAAATACGATCTTTTCAAGGTTTTGAAGAGCCTATAATGCCACTCATGTGCAATTAAACTTGAAAACGATGCTAAATGCCAAGCTACAGCTGCAAACCCAAAAAGCCTGCCTGGAAGACAACAGCCTAAAGCAAAACCATAAATCCCACTTACAGCAAACCTACTGCAAGGAAATCAACATTACATTTTAAAGAGTACTGCTTCCCTAGCACACATTTATAACTGCTGCAAAATCTGAGTTTTTGAGTCTGAAACTTTTGGGTACTCACTGGGGATGGACAAAATTGAAAAGACTATTCAGGACTAAAGGGCTTCCTCATTAAATTGCTATTGTTAACATACCCTTGTATTATGTCACCCTTGTCTTATGCCATTATACACATGCAATTGAGAACTAGAGCAACATACCCTCCCTGGTCTGTAGGGGAACTACTCTGTGTGCTGAGCACCAGGAACAAGCATGCTGTGTGACCAGTAGGGAGGACCCTGGGCTTGCCTGAAAATAACCTGTAATTTACAAATGTGTCTTTACACATTAGTAAGGCAATGTCTTCCCTAGCTTTTATTCTGTCCTCCAATAAAATTCTCTTTACATAAGTCAATGGAAACCACACCAATGCAAAACACTTCTCTTTCACCTGTGTCTGTCTGCAATTGTACTTTTCTCAGGTAGACATATCTGGATTTTATGCACAAAAGGATGTTTAGCAGTCTCCTGCACAAGACTCAGGGTCTTTAGAGACACCTTGCCTGTGGTTCAGGATTTTTGAGTTTTCCTACTGACTTAGGGGTTTGTGGTTATGTCTTAGCAAGTGTATGCACACAGATGCTTCATTTTAGGAGGAAGGAGCGGGTTTGATGAAGGTAAGAGAGGAATTGAAGACACACTAAAGAACATCTCATGTCTTCAAAATTTCTCCTACAACTACCCTAACAAATTGTGGCAATTAACATGCTGTTAGTGTTAGATGTGTGCAGCCAGTGCAGGTGCTAATAATTGAAAAAGCATTTAGAGCTTTTACACCCTGGCTGAATATTTCATGATGTGCTGCATGTTTCACTATTTACTCAGTGGGCCTCTGTCACTTCAATCTTCTCTGACTGCTTTGACTGGTGCTATAAAGCTCAACCAAGACG